GGTGCAGGAGATAGCCGTGGCTCAGCCGTACCATTCCGCTCTTGGCCTGTCGTTTGACATGTTCGAACGCTGGGGAGATCGTTAGCAGCCCCATGGCGGTATATGGTGTAGGCTCATACGGGCAATTTAGTAGACCGCGCCGCAGATCTGGAGAACTCATTTTCCCGAACCTCAGGCACACATAACCGTCACCTACAGTGATCAGCGCAACCTATCATCGTGTCGGGGCGCATCTCTATCCAGTTCGCCGCAATTTGCACATCTGCAACTGCACAACTGGACATATGACTAAGTGATGACCACCCGGCGAAAGAGCACCCCCGCCGCGAATACTCGCCTCGGCATCGCCTGCCTATCCAACTCGGAGCATAGTACAAAAACTAGCAGTAATGTCTTCACTCCGTCTCTTTGAAAGAAGTTTTTTTTTCAATTCAAAAAACAGGGTACATATGCCTGAGTCAGCAAAAAACGGCTGCCGTGCGCTTATAATTATTCTCGTCGGGGGCGAACTTACGACATTGTGACCAACACTTTGGTGTACAGACTGCAGAGCTGTGTTCGGACCACTCGAGCTAGAAGCACTCCATCCGTAATGACTATTTTGCAGTCCAGAGCGACCCGATCCTTTTTTGCAGATATAGACCATCGCCAAAATCTGTAGCAACGCTCCAGACCTCCGCGCTCTGCCGTTCGTACACTTTGAGTATCTCAGCATCGATGCATGATGCCTGACTGACAAAGTCCATAGCTCCTGCGATAGCATAGATAGGCACCATTCCCGTTCCTAGCCTGCATAGAGTTGCTCGGCCCGTTCCTCGTACATGGGCGCACTTGAAATCCTTCTTCGTCTCGCACCAGAAGGCTGAAACTGACAGGCTCAAGAAGTCAAGCAGCTCGATGGATGCTTCTTGCCCCTCATGGGGAAGCTCACAGGGCAGTCGTAACCCGGTGTTCCACAGTCCTAACACTACCCGGGGGGGATGACATGAAGCTGAAGGAAAAATTCGTTTTGTGTATTACCATGAGCACATACTGTCCTAGGATACACGGACCAAACAAATTAGTTGCGCTCTCAAGATGGAGGCTTTACATTCATTATTACGACCATCACTCTCGTCCAGAATGTGGCTAAGTACGCTACAGTTGTCAATTCGATACCAGGTGTAATTCAGAGCAGTAAACATTAAAGTAACCGTGTCGAGCGATGCGGAGTACACGGGGTCGTGAACGCCGGAAAGGCGTCAATCAACCCCGCCATCAAGGCCGCCGCCCCGTTTTGACCGCCGACTACAACCATGTTTCCGACATCCTGCAGCTAAATATCGTTATACAGGTCCCTGGGCTTCAGAGACATCTCATTTTGGTCCCAGCCGTTTATCTCTCAAACGCTCTCGGACGCTTCGTTAGCTGCAGACGAACTGAGTTACGGTATGAGTTCAAACACAATATTCATGTCGTATAACAGTACCTGGCGAAGATACAGTACCTGACGCGCAGTGTGCTCTCGGATATGTGGGTATCACAAAATGCGCGAAGCCGTGCCCAGGTTGGCTCACGCCCCCGCGTCAGCGAGCACGCTTATCGGCTGAGGACGGATCCCATTTCAACCGCAGATACGTAGACGACATGCGTGGATGATAAGCCTTCTGATCCTGACTGTGCCTTATGAAAAACTTGAGGCCGAATTCCTGAAGCAATTGCTGCGCGACCTCACCGAGTTCCCGGAGCAGGCCGCCGTTAGAGCACTCCTGCTTCTAAATCCTGCTACGCTCACAACGCTGCCTACGGAAGAGAAGCAGCTAAAACACAGCGAAGTTCATGAAGCTGAGTATGTAGAGCATCAATACATACAGGTAAGCAAGCGCATATATTCATTGAAGCATGGTGTTTACGACTTTACAGATTTATTTTTATGCTCCTGTTCTATCTCTGGCGGAGGATCAGCTGAACTATGACTCCTCGTCGGACGCTGACCCATGACAGATCATGCACGCACTTCGGACGGGGGGCCGGTGGACTCACGCGTTTTTGAGGTATGTATTGCCGATCTGTGGTGGACGCATTCTTGCGGAGCCTCGTGACACTTCACTTTTGTATTAGATACCCCCGCGTGGAATTATAGACGTCTTAAGGCCGCTCATACAAGTGCTCGCCGTGTCGGGTTCGAAATGGCCCGTCCCATACTGCTACGGCCAATTTGAGCGAGCTGAATCGCACGATGACGAATTTTCACAGATGGTCTCTGCCAGCATGTGCTGATACTGGAACGGGCCCGTGCGAAGGGATCATACTGGACTGAATCATCGTTTGCTCGATGCGTCACATCGAAGCCGCCAGGGCGGATTGTTTGGCGGAGACAGTGTCGGTTCGTCTGCATCGATTCAGGGTCGTGACCAGTAGTGGTTTCTCGGCAGAAGTCCATTCCACTATGATCACCACGGGCGTATTCTTAGCGCGAGGCCCTCCATCAATGTATCCTCTCCCTTACTTTAACGCTATCTCCGGAAGAGCCCATTGTACAGCCTGTGAGGCCACCAGCAAGTCCGTACTTAACCGTCTCTGGGACATGCACGCTACTCGTTCACAACGTGCGGCTAATCTTCGTTTGCGAACAGGATTATGCAGAGCTATGCGCTAGGCTCGTGCAGAAAAAGGTATCGATATTCCGCTCCAACTCAGTTTTTCCCTTCGACTCTAACATATCTTGGGACAGGCTTGTTCTTGCCCGGCTTTTCATTGGCCTGCACGCCGTGTGTTGTCGGCAATATCGGCAATGTTCTGTGCACATACGAAACGCTCCGGCAGCCTATCTCGTAGGACATCTTGCAGTGCTCGCGATACTGGCAAGATTTCCTGCCTCAGGCGCCCCCGCCCTGCACATGTCGTGACCACTGAGCACATCTCGCTAGCGAGCGATGACCTCGTGGAACTGGCGCGGCCGACGACGGGAACGCGTACCCAAAGCTATCTAATAAAACCAAACAGACTGAATAGGGCTGTAGCTCGACGAAGTAATGAAATATTGTCCACGGCGACCACCATGGACACTGTCGAGGTCACTTGGGCAGTACTTTACAGAGACCCCCTCTACGCACCATTGCGGCTACCTGACACGCAAGATGTGGGCTCAACGCACGAACTTCGTAGCATCATCAAAGTTGTCTTCGCCGACCCATCCTGGCTCGCGAGCGAGAGCCCCTAGCGGGTCTAACTAAAAACGATGTTATGATCGAGCTCTACCAGGTATGGTCCCTTAGAGGCCTCGTCGCATATCGTACTGTTCATCGTATGTCCTATGCTCGCAGCTACCCGAGTGGCCTTGCGCCCGCGACTCTCCCGACACCACAATCAAAGAGGCATTTGCAGACATCATCACTGACGAATATCTCACGACCGCATGCGTCACAATATCTATCTCGAGCCCCTACGCCGAGGTCGAAAAGCGCGAGAATCTCGTGGTCATTCTTGGTACGTCTCGTTGTTCAATTCCCCTATCCGCACTCACATCCTTCTACTTAGAACCTTATTCGCGCCCGCGATCTCTCAAGCGCACTAGATCAGGGTCTTTCAAGGAGGGAAAGTCTGGATTCATGTCGGGTAAGCTTGCGTCCCAATGCAATGGCAGTCGTGTCAACACGCATATATAGGCCGCCAGAGATGGCTGCCGCGGCCTTAGACCAAGTGACGAAAATTCAGGAGTCTCAAATGCTGCAACAAGTCCACAACTACCGGCCATTGGCATCGGCTGCTCGCCCAGTTCATATCTACCACCCATTATTCGCTAATTTCCAGCGTATGATCAATCGTAGTGACTCCGAAGGAGAGCCGTTCTCCTCTGAAGAACTCGATTCTGCCCACTCCTTCATACACGATTGTTCAAAGTATCACCGGTCAAGAACCGGACGCAAGGATGCGATGTAATATCTGGCTCGAGCTGTCCACTGGCAGCTTCTCCAACTTAGCTGATTTACAGTTACACCGTGGGGGCCCGCTAGAGTTCTTGACGGCGCTGTTTTCTCCGTCTCATCGCACCTCGACAAGCACTTCAAGCCTATGCTGGCTATGCACATTATCGGGAACGGAATCAGTGAAGGCAGCAGAGACCCTATCACCCAAGCCGAACTTCGTTATGTAGAGTTTCATCACTCATGAGAGGTCTGTGCCAAAGACTCATACAAGCCATAGAGCTCACTGGTCGCATCTTCCTGTATAGGCTGACGCGCTCCGCCAGCTGCCGCCATGTCCATGTTTCTTGATTGGGACCGCCGGCCCCTACATCACCGTGGTGGGCGCGGTTTTTTAATGGCATGGACGGCTCATATTTTTGGCGGCAGCCAGAGCGGGAGATGGTTCGACGCTCCGGTCTTGCTCGAGATGGCATCTCCACGTGACTTCTGGCTGATATAAAGTTGGCCAGTGATCGCCCCTCATACCGCACACCGCGCCGTCTACGCCACTAGCACTGGCATGTCATCTGATCTTACCATCAAGTTCTCTGCTATCCCGCAAGGCGAGGGGGAGCCTGGCAGGGAAGAATTTTCTCTTCACCTTACCCGCATTGGCAAGCAGGTCCGACTCGAAGGCCGTCTTCAGATATACAACACTGTGGGAGTCACCGCATCTGCGACGCGCGAGTACTATAGAGGGACGTTGGCTCAGCGCAGTCTGAATGACCCCGAGACCGACGTATTCATCAAGCTCGCATACGCGCAAATCCTC